CACCACAACCAAATTCAAACTAACGAGTCAAGAAAACTCACCGGCAAATTTATAAAAAGCGGTATATATACTCTCTCTGTATACACCCCAGATTTAGAGTATACATAATTCTTTTTAGGGATTTGCCGGTGAGTTTTCTTGACCTGCTAGCTTAAATTTTGTTGTGATGAGGTAATCTCGCTCTGATGATGTCCGTCGTATGACGGACGAAAGCTTAGCACCTTTTCACCAGAATCGAAGAAGATTGCCTCGGAAACAGCGTCAGCATAAATGTTCACGTAAAGCTAATCGACAGCTGGTCAAGAGAAATTTGCCTTCGTCTTCTGGTGGAACCGACCTTCGAATCTCTTCATCCAACACTTACTCGAAATGGAAGTAGGCTCAACAATTATGAAACAAGAGATTCCTCGAAACCCAACTTTTCTTCGCAACTTTACTTGTCTCTGACGAATTGTAACTTGGTGCTAAGAATAGCAAGACCCACTGTGATGCTGGCGAAACATCTGGAAATGTACCCAGTAAACAGTCCGATCCTGGAAATTATGATAACTATGGCAGAGGATTTCGGACAGGATGCGTCCAACTAAGTCGTCCTGACGACACGGCCAAGTTGCTAAAATGAGGTCAGCTGACTGATAGTTTGACAAAGTTGGTATTAAAAGCGTTTCAATTGGTTACATTCAACAGAACAAGACTAACCAGATAGTTTGTAAAACTCCTTGTTGGCTTGCGATTGCATAAGCCCTGAACTAAACCTAGACGGCTTCAGGAGATGAAGGGATGATGGATTCTTTTGCTACAATGTCATGAGTAAGCCTCACTGCTCCAGCGAATTCCACTTGGCCTTTGCTTCCACAATGCTTTAGCCGCCAGACTGAACTACCGTCTCGACCTTGCCTGGATCCTGTCAGTAGCCCGAAATTGACTCGAGTCTGAGTGGAGCAGCATTGCTTTTTGGAAAATCTTACCAGCCTAGGGGGACTATAGTTGTTATTCAGCCTCTTGAAAGTCTACACATTACGAGTACAAAGTATGGTTCATAAAGAAATGCTCAGAGAATGTAGATTTACTGGCAGGAAAGAAGATAGTTGTACATTTTCGCCGAAAGCGAAAATTAATCAGAATGCTTTAGGAGGAACTAGCTTCAGGCCTAGAGAGAGCCTCCAGCCTGTTCAGGTCAAATCGATCCAAGAGTCTCCTTGTGATACAGTTTTAAGCGAAATGAATATCACTTCTTCATGCATGACAAGTTCTCTGCCATTACTTCACATTTTTAAGCAATAGCACCCTCAGCGAAGACATCAAGGACAAGAAGGCACAGCTACTGACAATTATTCGAGAATTCTGTACTTTTAGCTTCCGAATTGGAGTATTTTTTTAAAGAATCTATTTATGCCAAGCTGTCATGCCTTTGAATGGCATTAAATTCCACCTATCCTTGATGAAGATAATTGCAGGAAAAATTCTCAAGTCACCTTAGCAACCTGGTGTCACTAAGTGCCTTCTTTATGCAAATGGGTGAAGTTGATGCCCCCCTCCTTGAATTAGTGTATTTTCGTTTTATCTGAAATTATGTTATATGGCCCTGATGAAGTCTGGACTGAAGAAAAACTATGCGTCAGTTGTAAATCTCTTGCCTGGACGCCATTTTTTGAGGGCAGGTCTTAACTGGCTGACTTTTAATCGGTCATCTCCAACCTCTGGAGAGAAATGGCCTTCAGGGTCAGGCGTCAAGAGGCGATCAAAAGTGTAGCCGCACCGAACTTACAATTTAACCTTCGAATAATAGAGAATACAACCTGCTGTAAAGTAGATTCTGAAACAATTTATGCAGAACTTCTCCTCAGTTATGTCTTCTAAAAGCGGATTTGATTCTGTCCCAATCTCGCCTTTATGTCTGGTCTCCTGCCTTAACCAGGTTCGAAGACAGGACCTTCAATAACAGACGGTAAGTTTCCACGACCTCATCTTCTTTCCATCTTTTAGCAAAATTTGCCTAAATTTTACGTCAAAAGGCTGTGCTGAATGAGGCGGATTGTAGTGGACAAGAAAGAGGGAAGAAGATCTTTCCATTTTGATAGCAAAACTGGATCCAGAAGCCATGAAGACAGGAAAGAAAATTGCTTTTGAATGAAAAACGGATATGAAGAGAGGGGCGCATGGAAAAATCGGTTATATGAAGTAGGAGCATGGGATGAGGAACATGTTAGAACATGGAAGAGGAGACGGAAAATGTTTGAAAGGAAAATTAGACAAGAATAAGAGTGGACTGACTGGAATTTTACCACAATTAGATGAGTATGTAGCACTTTGGTATTGAATTTCACATGGTGCTGCTTCTCAAAAGGCATTCGCATCTAGATTAGATTTTCTACCTGACGATACCGGTTAGTATGTTAGTAAATCGTCTAGGAAAGTGCTCAGTCAACTTTCATAGACTGAAATGAGGGAAATAGCAGATGATACAGTATAGGCAAATAGACCGCAAGCTGCGTTTATGCCGAAATCAACCAAAAAAGGATGTTTTTTGAGTAATCTCTTGCTCTGCACTGGTCAGCCTCATTTCCATTTCGAACAAAAGTTGGAATGATAAAGAGCTTTGAAGCTCGATCTCACCAGAATTCGACGGGGAATTCCTCTTGACCAGCCGTCGTTTGGCCTTAATACACTTTTTTTGGTTGGCGCTGTCCCTGAGGCAACCGCCATTCATTCTATACTATTCTCCGTAATATGAGATGTATTCACCCTAGTTCGTTTATGGTGATGAAGGACTGACGGGTGAATTTTTACACAGTCATGCGAGTAGACTTTACGCTTTCATTGAATTTCACATCACCTTGCTTTCCCATAGGGTTTTCCTATCAGTGCTAGAGTGGAATGCGGCTTTGACCTTGCCCCATCAGCATTCTGTGGTGAGGTTGTCGATGAAATTAAGTAGTATTTGCTGTAGCAATCGACTGCATTACTTATTTTTCGTCGACAACTAGGTTGTTGAGACTGCCAGTAGAGCATTCACACATTTGCCCTGTGATCCAAGAGCGCTCGTGGCAATGTGGCGTAGTGGTTAGCGTGCCGACATATACGCTGCCTCATCGAGGTGTTGATAAGACGAGTTGAGATGAGGTCGAAAATGCACTATACTCCAATCGGGATAAGAATACCTTTTTGGAAGGCAAGGCTATGTGATATTGAATGCAAACGTATGATATATTCATATGATCTGATGGTAGTTTTAACTTTAAGCGATTCCCTAAATCTAATGTTAAGATCTCATTGCGATTCTTCGTTTATCTATCTATCTATCTATCTGTATATCTATATGAATATAGGCAAAGCACCTCACAGAGTTTTTAAGATCAGATTTAGGGGAGCGCTTTAAGATTGCGTAAGCAACAGTTAAATGGAAATGGGAAAAATGAATTCATTTCCTAAACCGGACACTAGGGCATATTCAGCCTCGATCTACCAACTATTCACAAATAGAGAATACAATTAAGGTTGATAGCCGATGATAAAGGGAGGTTTGCTGCAGAGAATTTAAGGAGTTTGGTGAAGACGATTAGGAAAATTGGCTGACAATTGAAAGTATGTAGTGAAGACTTGATATAAATTTGCCAAATTGATATTACCACAAATTATTAGGGCGGCAGTATTAAGGTATATGAAAGTGTCATTTAAAGTGGCTATTATAGCATTAGTACACCTGAAATTATTGAGGGAGTTTAAGTCCTCTTAATCTAGTCATGAGTAGCACATATTCACCTTTGACGATATATTTTATGAACAGGTGTAAGGACCTGCAATATGATCTTTTCTGGCCCTCATTTTGGGTAACAATTACATGTTAAGAATAGTGGAACGCTTCATGGAAGCAGTGATATTGACAGAACAAACGTTAGTCATGGGTATGGATGACTGTTTTACAATTTGGCCGAATGGCAAGGATCGTTTAGGTAATTTATTATTATTTAATAAAACAGAGAGATAGTAATATTAAATTCAAAATGTAGAGAAGAAGCCAGCACATGCTGAATTTTGTATTAACTGCTTCTCTACTCATCGCTACAAAACTAAGGCTGGAATTATAAACTCGATGATTATTAAGAATATAAGAATAGCCTATAGAGATCAGAATGCTAATGAGATAGATAGGATTAAACTTATATTACTTGATGGGAACGGTTTCGTTTGGTGTGGAAGTGCATGATGAAAAGATTGGTATGTCAATATCAACAGAAGACGTCAGCTGATTCGCGTTGTACTGCAGCCGTTCTGGTTGATGCAGTTTACGAGAAATCCTCCAACGTTTAGGGCGAAGACGGGCTGAGCTTTCATTCGTCATTTGACGAGCATCATCAGAATTGGGACTCATCTTTGTAAGAGCCTTAAGTTAGTTTCTTGACTTGGTGCTAAGTTGAGGCTTTTACAAGAATGGGTCCCACAAGAATGACCATGTTCGTCAAATGACGAAGGAAATTTCATCCCGTCTTCGCCCGAAACGTTGGAGGATGTCTTGTGGACCGCATCAACCTGAACCTCCTTTCCTTCCTCCGTAATTCTAGGTTGTGGTATTATATACGTCAGCAAGAAGCCGAGCATATAATTCATAGTGAATATTTTCTGATACACATAAATTGGTAGGCTGCTTTCTACTCATTTTCAATGTAAGTAGTGCTTGCGACTATTTTTCATTATTAAATAAGAACTCAGTCTCTCAAAATTAGGGTAAGCTCAGCCGGCATCCTGGCTATAAACCATAATTTGAGAAAAACTTATAAATGGACTAACTAAGAATGATGATATCAATTTAACTTTTATCATACATGCAGTAATGCAGTTTCCCTTTCGCCCGCATCTCATTTGCCCCTTGACGCTCTGCCACATATCAGCGAATATTGGCTGTTCACAAATCAGGTGGGAATTCCACGGCAAGCCCGACCTCTCATATCACAACTAGACACGTTTTGTCATTAAGGCAAGCTTGCATTTATTACTAATTCTAGTATTGAGTATATTTAAATGTTATCAGCAGGTACTGAATCACGACTTTATGAACAGGGACCTGTTATAATATTAAAGTAATCCAGCCTACTCATTTCGCTGTGGAAGCTCCCTCCATCAATGCTTGCATCAACTTGAGATGCCCAATGGAAGTAAAACTATTGTTCGAGTTAGTAACGCACATGATATAGTCAGCGTATGATACATTACCTTTTATTTCGATGGAAAAGTTGGCTGGAAGCAATTCGTGAATTGCTCTCACTGGAAACCGAAGGAGGATAAATTGTTGGGGCGTGAAGACCGTTGAATGGTGCAAAACAGTCCTCGAATCATTATCCTGTGAGCCCGATGAACCCGTGCTATGATTTTTTCTGTCCCATATCAGCGTTTTTATCGAAATTTGTGGTTCCTCCTTTTATATGACAGACCACAGATTAACATGGATCCATCGGAATCTCAGGATGGGGAACCGATGACCTATTCAAACAGTCCAACAATCTTCACGTCAGCCCTTCTGTTTCCGGTGACGCCAATTTACGAATTCCCTCAAGCTAACTTTTCTTACAAATTTGAAAGGCCTATCAACAGAAATAACTAAGGGATTCTCCGAAGCCCAGTTTTTCTTCATCCATGTTCAGCTTTTGCCTATCTGCGCCATCAAGGACATCTTCATGAGAATACCATCATGCCGACTAATGAGGTAAGTGTTCCCATTTTCGTTTTCCTTCGGGAAAATACAATTCTGCTGAAAATGAGTGAATTCATGTTATCTATTCATCCGATGTGCAATCGGACGTTCATGGGCGATACTAATAATGGATTTGAGCTCAACTGTATCGGGTTACCTTCATTTCCAGGTCCCATAGCCAAGTAGATAATCCTGCTTTGCTTATTTTAGCCCGTTAGCCTCTTCTCGCACCAACGCACAAGATATAACGGATGCAAGAAATGTGGTTTCTAAAGGGTCGCTTTACGTCTTCATTTTTGCGCAACTGGCCGGAAAATATGTAAATAATTTCTTTTAACCACTTTTACCGCCCAATGAAATTATGCATACGTATGACCCAGATATCTCCAAACCAATTCGACTAATAGAGGAAAGCGACTGGCTTTGTACACAAATTCCAATTCCTACAATTTAATAATTCCATCTGTCTCATGAGTTGTGTTGGTCAATCTTTGATGCATCCTTTTCATTCCTATAATCAATCACTTGGAGATTTATCTTTTTAAAAATTTAAATTCTTATTCCTTACTGTCCCGTGATTACTTAATATAGCGAGTCTTGGCAATAATTTGTTCGCATTGTCATACTTATTTAACTTTATAACTGTCTTAGTCTATAATTCTTACCTATCCTGGCAGAAGATTCCAAATCAAATTGATATATTTCCGATTAAACAATAATGCTCATTTTACAGATGTTAGGAAGAGAGGCACTTGTCTACTAAACAATCCATTATTATTCCGCCTGAGACACTTCTAAAATTGGATGAAGGCAAAGCAGGCAAACTTTGAAGCTTTAATAAAACAGTTGCTCTCTCATTTTCGTTATAATTTCCTCTCTTGTTCAGTACCACTATATAACCCTCTGGCTACATATCTAACTGTCTGTCTGCCTATTTACTATTTTTTTTAAATTCACACAAATTTAGTTATTTTACGTTTCCTTAACCTTCTCAACTATCCATAGCCCTACCACCAACTATCTATCAACATATCTTTGCCAAGTTATCACAACTAGCCCTAACTTAGCTTTTAGATGATCGTATTCATAAATACGAATGGGACTTCTTGACTTGGAAAATTTTATCTTCCATAGAGAGAGAGAGCTTATTTAATGTCACTCCTTTCCTATTCAAGTGAAAATAGGGAAATTCTCCAATCTAGTTGCCAAAACTTGTTGAGCAGCAAATTGTGTAGCCTTGTGTAGATAATTATACAATTATTTTAGTTTCTTATGTTACAGTCTTGGCGAACACTATTTACTTTGAGAATGATCCCATCCTGTCATTTCGGTCACTGCATGTGTAGGTCTTCTATAGCCTGTCAATCTGATCCGCTTTTAGAGCATAAATTGCCTTAAATGCATCTGCCCAGGTCGTTCGACGACGGACTCGAACGCATGCAGCATTTAAGCTCCTTTTGTCTGTTTCAAATGTGATCGTCGACTTCGTCCAACAGCAAGTGTGACTAGCTTTTTGTAGCATGGGCGGTGTACATTTCTTTCTCATTTCTTGATCCGAGCAGAAGAAATAACTGGCTCTTTAGTACCCTCTACATGTACCAACTAAGAAGTCAGCAAGTATACCTTTAAATAGTCGAAACAAAACTGAAGCCCGTGTGCAAGGTGATTAAACAATTTGGTAGCCTAATCGGTTACTGAGCTTCATAAGTGAAATCTGATGGACTTGCACATGAGACTAGTAGAATGAAAAAAATACGACTGAAATAGTTACTCGATCTCTTTCCTTGCCTAAATGCCATCAGTTGAACAGAAATAATGCTTGTTCAATTCCGTTCCTCGAGTTAACAGATCTGTCAATTTCATTTACATGCCATATTTTGGGCTTATCAGCAGACACGTTGTGTCAGCAAGACAAGTATTTGATGCCACTTTATCTCACGTCTAATTTGTGCCATGGGCCTCGCAACTATTACAAGCATTTTTGCAAGCATTTACTCTGACAGTCAGCGTGACGTAAGAACTACCTCACGCCAGAAGATTTGATGGCTGTCTGCTTCGTAAGATAGTTTAGACTTCGCCATACAAAAGGGCATACCAGGGTAGTCTCAAAATCTCCAGAAAATGACTATTTTCCCAGCTTTCTAAGAAGTTTCCTCCAAACTTGCTGTTACCAACTGACCATGTACTACTAGTCATCACTAATACTATAAGTCAAACCCTGGAAAATGAAAATAATTCCATCCTTGTCTCTACCCAGCATCGCATAAATAACACAATTGTTGAGCTTAATTCCATTTCGAGTGAGTGTTGGATGAAGAGATTTAAGGGTCGGTTGCACCAGAAGACGACGTCTGATTCCTCTTGACCAGCTGTCGATTGGCTTTACTGAAACATTCATACTGACGCTGTTTCCGAGGCAATCTTCTTCGATTCTGGTGAAAAGATGCTAAGCTTTCGTCCGTCATATGACGGATATCATCAGAGCGAGATAACATCATCACAACAAAATTTAAGCTAGCAGGTCAAGAAAACTCACCGGCAAATCCCTAAAAAGAGGTATATATACTCTAAATCTGGACTGCATATATAGAGAGTATATATACCGCTTTTTAGGGATTTGCCGGTGAGTTTGCTTGACTCGTTAGCTTCAATTTTGATGTGACGATGTTACCTAGCTCTGATGATGTCCGTCATATGACGGACGAAAGCTTAGCATCTTTTAACCGGAATCGAAGGAGATTGCCTCGGAAACAGCGTCAGTATGAATGTTCCAGTAAAGCCAATCG